CCCTGTTCTCCTTGTTCACATCTGTTCTCACCTGTTCTGAACTGTTCTCCCTGTTCTCCTTGTTCACATCTGTTCTCACCTGTTCACACCTGTTCTCCCTGTTCACACCTGTTCACACCTGCTCTCACCTGTTCACACCTGTTCTCCCTGTTCACATCTGTTCTCACCTGTTCTTAACTGTTCTCCCTGTTCACATCTGTTCTCACCTGTTCACGCCTGTTCTCTGTGCTTACACCTGTTCACACCTGTTCTATTTTCTAAGCATAAATATTTGCACTCATTCTACATGTTGTTTTTGTTTTGTTGTTGTTCTTTTTTTTTTTTTTTTTTTTTACAGTTTTTGCGTGTGACAGTGTCGTATAATACACTCTCTGGCTCCCTTGCTGCCAGATGTTTCCAGTGTTTTACGTTTTTACGGTGCACTGACAGTACCTCATGTACAGAAACACAACACGACCTCTGACCTGAAGGTTCTCAGGATCTCTGAGTGTAATTTCAGTGGAGGATGAAACTGGAACAGAACCAGAACCTCTGAGGCAGCCATACTACTCCACACTTCCATCATTCGTGTCATGTCAAATTCTTGGTTTTAATTTTCGTCTTGTCTTGGTTCCAGGTTTGGATATTCTGGTTCAGGATGATCGTCTGCTTGCTGTCGGTTCTCCTCCTCTTTGTGTCTTCGGTTCCCTCCATCATGGGTGCAGAACCTGCCGGCTGCAAGATCCGTATTACTGACAAAGGACTGGACATGTGTAAGTGATTTTTAAAAAGTTTAAATGTTTTTTCCTGAAACAGAACTCATCGATTGAACTCACCTCTGGTATGATCTCAGCTCTCGGTGATCTTCTTCCTCCTGCTGTTCTTCACAGACAGGAGCAGATTAACTCTGCAGTAAACGACAGTGTCATGTTCAGGTTCTAACGTCGAAGCACGTCCTCTGATTTATCTTAAAATGTGACTTTGTGTGGTTCATCGCTTTCTTTTTTTAATGCTCACATTTTCTAATTAATCATCCAACAAGCTAAAACCGTTCAACATGATGTGCAGTTATAATCCCAAATTAAAGTCTAATCCAGATTAAAGATGCAACAGGCTTAAACTTTAATCCAGATTTAATCGCTCCATGCGTTCTCCACCACTGATCCAGGGCCTAGTTGCCATGGCAGCGGGCTGAACTGGGGGCTGAGGTGGTCCAGGTCTGGTGAGATGTTTGTTCTGGATCTACTCCAGTTCTCCAACCAGGCGAATGCTTGTGTAAAACCTCCACGGATGGATCCACATTAGAGCCTCCTCACTTAAGTTCTCCTCCATCTCTGGAGACTCGTGGACAAGAGAACTTACTTCCGTTTTCAGTCTCTCAGAAAATAAAGTGCTAACTGGAACCAAACATGGTTCTTCTTTGGTCCCACTGTGAAGAACCATGTTGCTTCCAGTTCGCACTTTTATTTTTCTAAGCAAGAGTTTTTTTTGTTGTTGTTTTTTTAAACATTTCTTCATGTTCTTTGGAGAACCTCCAAAGGTACCTCAAAGGGATATTTTGGGCACCATGATTGTTGCTCCAAAACAAATATTAGGTTCTTTGAGGGAACCATTTTCTACATAGTTCGTTGTACAGTCACTTGGTTCTACTTTACCAGCAGGACCTAATAAAACAAAAAACAGTCGAATGTAAGACATTTCTGGGTTCCTTCCATTAGAACACATGTAATACTTTGCATTCTGGACTGCTGGTCAGACAGAACAATGTGTTAAGTGCTAGAACATGCTAAGATGCTAGGTTGGGATTTGGGAAACTGTAAGGAACATTTCTCTGTTTTCTGATATTTTATCGACCAGATGATTCATCCAGAACAAACTAATATTCAGCTGCAGCTCTGATTTCATGCTGTTACCAAACCAAAGAACTGGTGGTCAGGGGGCTCTACAGAACCAGAGAGTCCTCTGAAGAACCTTTGAAGAGCTATCATTTTTCTGAGAGGAGCCCCATTTATGGTGCCTAAAGGCATTCTAAACCATAGATGGTTCTTTGAGGCACTTTTAGGGGTTCTTTAAAGAATCAGAATCAACTTTATTGGCCAAATTTGTACATGCAAACAAGGAATTTGACTCCAGTGAATCTGATGTCTCTGTACAAGAAATAACAGAAGTAAACCAGAACAATGCAATAAGAGAAAAGGGTCTTTGTGGACGTTCCTTGGCATCACTGCCAAAAACTGTTTTTGGTTCCAGTCGGCACCTTTATGCTTCTGAGTGCTGAATCCTTCAGGATCAGTTCTGATCCAGAGTCCGCCACACAGTGAGACCTGAGGAACCGGGACCAGGACCAGAACCACTGGAACTGGATCGCCACTACAGTGTCAGTTTTAGAGGTCCACAGGAAGGTTCTAGGTCTGCATCAGGACAGAGAGCCTCCCTGCTGGTCTAGTTCTGTAGTATTACACTGTGTGTCGTTTCTGTGGTGACGTTGTGTGTTTGTGTTTTCAGTGAAATATGAAACTCAGAAGTTTGTTGAAGAGGAGCTCAGCAACATCAGCATGCCAGAGATGCAGGGCAAAGAAGGACGATTCCAATACACCATCAATGAGTATATGCGCTAAATTTGACATCATACTGCAGTACTGAGTCCTGCATGTGAGTATTAATACTGCATCTCTGCTCTGTTTCAGTGTGAAGATCACGGAGCTGAATCTGACTCACGCAGACCTGCGATTCATCCCCGAAGTCGGTTTGTTGTTCGATGTTCAGAACTCGTCGATCTCTTTGACTTTCAACCGACGGATCCTCTACTGGTTCTTGTAAGTTCTGCACACAAAACATGGATTTAACCCCAACGGTTCCACTACACAGCAACATACTGTACATATAAACTCAAATATATACCGGTACAACATCTTTATAATAGATAGATAGACAGATAGATAGATAGATAGATAGATAGATAGATAGATAGATAGATAGATAGATAGATAGATAGATAGATAGATAGATAGATAGATAGATAGATAGATAGATAGATGTGCCATGGTGCTCCTTTCCCCACACAGCTTATACAACGGGTCCTCTCTTATTCCCCATTTGTGCAAGTTTTCTGGGGTCAGAAGGATGTCGTATACTGACCGCAGCAGGAAGGAGATGTGGAAAGGTTCCGGCCTCCATAGGTCTGCCCTGGTCATTTTACTCTTGGGGAGGTCCCATTTGGTCCAGGCTCTCTGGCACTGCCCTTGATCTACAACTACATCCTTCCTCCTCCAGGTTGCATACATCCTCCTGCATCATGGCTTTTCTCTCCTTGGGTGCTGCCTTGCCCAACTGTTGGAGATGTGAGGTTTCAAAGCCCTGTCTTCCTGTGAATGGTGTTCCAAAGATCTCAAGTAGCCTCAACGTGCTCTCAGCTTGAGCTACAGCTGTATCAGACTCATTCATCCTGGGAGTCTCTGTATGTCGTTAGGACTCTGCACTTTGCCACATTGAACTCCTTCACCACGGATGACAGGGGAAGTTGGAGCTGACCGGATCTTATGTAGAGGCCTACTGATGTGAATGTTGGAGGGATTCCCAGCCACTCCCAGAGGTACTTATTGATTTTTCTTTCCACTCTTTCTACTTTTGTCACAGGAAACTCATACACTCTCAGCAGCCATGTGAGTCTCGGCAGCAGTCCATGCTGGTAAAGTCATGCTTTGAACTTTCCCAGGAGCCCTGACTTTTTGATCAGCCTCAGCCATTCTTCTGTCTGTTTTTCTGTACTGGAGATGTTGCTCCTGCCGAAAAGTGAGTTGTCGAACCACTTTCCAAGGCACTTGATTGGGTTATCCTCGATCGATGGAACCACTTCTCTTTGCATTTGCAGCTTGACTGTGTTTGTCAGTTTACCATTCCTGATCACCATACTGCTGGATTTCTTTGGTTTGAACTTCATTCTGGCCCACATTGCCAAACGGTCTAGAACTGTTAGCACCCATCTTGCCTCCACACGGGTCGGTGTTGTCATGGTTAGATCGTCCATGTAACCTCTTATTGGGAGTTGTAGAATGCCTGATTCCATTTTTGGTCCTTAGGCTTCTTTTCCTGCAGCTGTTACAATGAGATTCATTCCAATGATGAAGAGGATGGGGGAAATTGTGAATCCAGTTATGATTCCCTTTTCCAAGTTTTGCCACCAAGTTGTAACATGGGCCGTCTTAAATCGCAACCGGATGCCTCCAAAGTAGCTGGTGATCATTCCCTTGGAGGATGTGGTCGTGGTCTAATGCTGCATAGATGAGGGCATGAGGCATTGAGCCATAGGCATTGGCCAACTCTAGCCAGACAACTGTTGGGTTGCCCTTGCTAGATTTGGCCTCCCAGATCATCTGACTAAGGACGTATTCCAGACATCCAGAGAAGCCTGAGATTGATCCTTTCTGGATAGAGGTGTCCACATATCCATTCTCTGTCATGTATAAGGTCATCCTTTTAGCCAATACAGAGAGGAAGATTTTGCCTTCCACGCTGAGGAGTGATATTGTCTGCAACTGGTCAATGGTTGAAGAGCCATCCTCTTTTGGCACAAAACAGCCTTCAGCCTTCTTCCAGCATGATGGAATGGTGCCCTTTTTCCAGATCCTTTGTAACAGCTTCCACAGCCTCTAAAGGAGTGTTGGGCATTTCTTGTATACCTTATATGGTATCCCACTTGGTCCTGGGGCAGACCCTGTCCTGGCCTTCTTCACCACCTTTTTGATTTCCTTCCAGGATGGTTCACTGATGTTGAGCACTTTTTCTGGTTTTCCAGCAGTACAGATGTTTGGGTTAGCATCAAGGGCCTGGTTTCTGAAGGTGTCATTGTGGCCTTCCCTCAGGAACGACTCCACATCTTCCCTGGGGCTGGTCAGCAATCCAGATTTCGTTTCTCCCAGCGGTTTCCTTTAAAAGCATTTCTTGGTTCCTGCCAGTAGAGCACATTAAATCAATAGTCCCAGTTCTGAGTCTTCTAATACAGGCATTAGAACCCAGACCAGATCCTGGTTTGGGTTCCACAGACTCTGATAAAGTTGTAACACAAAGGATCTCCAGCTGCTTACAAGCTTAGTTCAACGCTGCATTTTTATTGATGTTGGAGGGTTTTGGTGATGACAGATCTGCAGATGAAGATAAACCTGAGCATGGTGATAGTGGTGTTGTTGTTGTTGTGTCTCAGTTATGACACAGGGAACATCAACGCGTCGGCTGAAGGAGTGAACATAAACACAGCTCTGAATCTGATTAGAGACGAAGAAGGACGACTGAAGATCAATAACATCAGCTGTGACGCCAACATCGACAAGATGAAGGCCAAGTTCAGCGGAACTCTAGGGTAAAACTATTATTTTCTTATTGTTTCTGTTCTCCAAGATACAGTTAGTTACTTTAAAACTAGTGCAAGCATGAACCAGAACCCCTTGCAGGCAGAACAGTCGACGGTTCACAACAGTTCTGTACATTAAACAGTTTTATAACGAGCTGATCTCAGCCGGAGAACAGACAACAGGAAAGTACCAACTCTGAGCCCTGAGGAAGACCATGTGGTCAGTGTCAACAGAACAGGTTCTGCTGGGCACCAAAGACATGAAAGCAGTTGAACCTTCAGCTCCTGTAAAGACTCACTCCTGTCTGTTTAAATAAACTTTACTTGGCTGAGTTTCTGTCACGTGACGTCGACCAATCAGGAACATCTGTCTGTCTTCAGGAGAGTTTACGACTTTCTGGGCAGAGTTCTGACAACAGGGATGCGCTTCCTGCTCAACCAACAGGTCTGTCTGTCTGTCTGTCTCACCTGTCTCTGACCTATCTCACCTGTCTCTGACCTGGCTCACCTGTCTCTGACCTGTCTCACCTGTTTCTGACCCGTCTGTCTGTCAGATCTGCCCTGCCCTGAACCACGCTGCTCTGGTTCATGTGAATTCTCTGTTGGAGACGATTCCTGTGAGGACGGAGGTCGACCAGTTTATCGGGATCGACTACTCTCTGATCGATGACCCGGTGGTGACAGCCAGGAGCCTTGACATGAACTTCAGGGTAAGACTGAGTCTGACGTGTGCTGTGTTCTGGTGAGACTCGGACCGGTCTGAACTCGGTCTGTTGTGTCTGCAGGGGATGTTCTTCGACCTGTCGCAGCAGAGCGTCCCTCTGGTGAACTACGCCGTGGATCCGGTGATCCGGGAGTACGACCGGATGATTTACCTGGCTCTGTCCGAGTTCTTCTTCGACAGCGGGATGTTCTCCTACTACACAGCTGGGATCTTCCAAATGCACATAGTCAATGAGAAGGTCAACCAACACCACCAGAACCAGCACAGACCACCAGAACCAACACAGATCAATAGAAACCCACACCAGTACAGACCCACTGACACCAGTACAGACCCACTGATACCAGTACAGACCCACTGACACCAGTACAGACCCACTGATACCAGTACAGACCCACTGACACCAGTATAGACCCACTGACACCAGTACAGACCCACTGACACCAGTACAGACCCACTGATACCAGTACAGACCCACTGACACCAGTACAGACCTACTGACACCAGTACAGACTGGTTGTATAAGACAGATTGAACTGGTTCAGTAGCTATAACTGTTGTTGTGTCTCATCCTTCAGATGCCCAAAGATCTGGAGATGCTGCTGAGAACCACCTACTTTGGAGCCATAATGATGCTGGTGAGCAGGAACCAGTGAGAACATGTTCATGGTTCTTATCGAAGTCTTCTGTTCTTACTGTTCTTGACGTTTTCCTGCTGTGTTCTGGAAAGAACCCGGCTCTGGTGGAAGCTCCCATGTCTCTGCAGCTCGCCGTGAACTCGCCTCCAAAAACCACCATCAAGACGTCCGGAGCAACGGTTACCATGACAGCCATCGTCAAGGTGATGGTGCTGCCTCCAGGTCAGCCTCCGGTCCAGCTGAGCAGCATGACAATGGTACACAACAACACAACACAACACAACACAACACAACACAACAGTACAACTCAACAACAACACAGCACAACACAAAAACACAACTCAACAACAACACAGCACAACACAAAAACACAACTCAACAACAACACAACACAACTCAACAAAACAAAACTCAACAACAATACAACTCAACACAACACAACAACACAACACAAAACAACTCAACAACAACACAACACAACAACTCAACAATACAACTCGACACAATACAACTCAACAACAACACAACTCAACACAACAGACACTGGACTTTAAACTGGACTGAGAACATAGTCGTTCTGTCAGACAGTCCTGTAGTGACAGAAGCACTGATTGACCGACAGCCTCTCACCTGTCAGATACACCTGCTGTACTAAGCTCCAGTTTGGGAAACTGGTTGGAAGCAGATTTCAGCTGCTCCCAGTTAAACTGTTTCTGTCCTGCAGGAGTCAAAGTTCAACGCCAAAGTGTCCATGAGAGAAAAACGTCTTTGTGTCCACGCCGACCTGCGCAGGTAAACACCTGCACACCTCATTCACACCTGATCTCTGACCCCAGACCTAGTTCTGACCCGGTGAGGATCCAGTCTGGTACTGACCACAAAAATCCTGAAACTTTCTCCTCTTCCAGGTTTAAAATCTTCTCCAACCAATCGGCTCTGGAGTCTCTGGCAGTAAGTTTTCTCCTGTTCAGCAGAAAGAAGCACAGATCAAGCCCAATCCACTGACCTGTCTGTCTGTCTGTTCACCTGTCTGTCTGTCTGTCTGTCTGTTCACCTGTCTGTCTGTCTGTCTGTCTGCAGCTGATTCCTCTCCAGGCTCCTCTGAAGACAATGCTGCAGATGTCTGTGGTTCCAATGATCAACAGTAAGAATCTGATTCATCAACTGTAAAACAAAAAACAGGAAGAAGCTCTGAGCTCACTGTGTGTGTGTGTGTGTGTGTGTGTGTGTGTGTGTGTGTGTGTGTGTGTGTGTTTGTTTGTT